ATCAATATGTATTTTTTTTTCCTCCATCCCTGAGTTCTTTATTTTGATTCTTATTTTCAATGGCTTGATTTCATCAATCAATATGTATTTTTTTTAAATTTATTTTTATTTATTTTTTTACTTTTTGAAATGTTCTTTTTGATGATGAACTCGATGCTATTTCTCTTCAATTTGTCATTCCTGGCAGAGTAGGCCATATGACTGTCTGATTCAAAATGGCCAATACCAGTCCATTTCAGCTTACTAATGCCTAAGATATCAATGTTTATGCATTCCATTTCATTTTTGACTTCCTATTTTCCTAGATTCATACTTCGTACATTCCACGTCTCGATTATTAATAGATGTTTGTAGCTATTTCTTATAATTTTGAGTCGTGCCGCATCGGCAAATGAAGGTCCCGAAAGCTTAACTCCATCCACATTATTAAGGTTGACTCTACTTTAAGGAGGCAGCTCTTCCCCAGTCGTATTTTGAGCGTCTTCCAATCTGAGTGGCTCATCTTCCAGCACTATATCAGACAATGTTCCACTGCTATTCATAAGGTTTTCACCGGCCAATTTCTTCAGAGGTAGACTGCCAGGTGCTTCTTCCTAGTCTTTCTTAGTCCTAAAGCTCAGGTGAAACCTGTCGACCCAGGGTGACCTTGCTGGTATTTGAAATACAGATGGCAAAGCTTCCAGTATCACAGGAACACACAAACCACCACAGTATGACATACTGACAGACACATGGTGGATATATATGTGTGTGTGTGTATAGTATGGGGAACTCTGGTGGCATAGTGATTAAGAGGAGCTAGGCTAACCACCAGTTGCTCCTTGGAAACCCTATGAGGCAGTTTTACTCTGTCCTATAGGGTATATATGAGTCAGAATTGACTCTATGGCAACAGGTTACAGGTAATATACTATGGAGTCCTGGTGGCACAGTGGTTAAGAGCTCGGCTGCTAAATAAAAGGTTGGTATTTCGAATCTACCAGCTGCTCCTTGGAAACCCTATGGAGGCAGTTCTACTCTTTCCTACTATAGGGTTGCTGTGAGTTGGAATCGACTCGATGGCAACATGTTTGGTTTGGTTTTATACATTCTATAATGTATGTGTATGTATATATAATTTAGAGAGTGGAGTTTATTCTTGGAATTCAAAGATGGGTCAAGATTGCAAAATACAAAAAGGTAAAACTCATGTATAGCCTCAGTCATGCCTTTTCGACTCTCTTTTTTCATTGCAGCAGGATGAAGCTTTTCAGGAGCATCATTTTCTGTTCTCTGGCCCAGGGTGTCAGCAGCCAAAGATGGATAAGTTTCTTCAGAGAGGCAGTTCAAGGTAAGGACCAAAGAATGGGGATGGGAGGCTGCATCTGGCTGCCCAAAGGATTCACTTGAGTGGAGGTATCCCTACCAGGCAAAGATGCTAGTGAAGCCACAAACGGGTAAAGAAGGAGCCTAGTTTTTCATGATATCGGTTCCCTTTACCTTTCTTGCCAGCTTTGCACTCTCCTGTGGGGATCCCTCGGCTGAGGCCAAATAAGGTCTGGACCCCAAACTTTCAGCAAGAGTGTGGGAGAGGTTTGGAGTTGAAGGGGTGGAGGGGAAGGGTGTCCGGTCCCTTAACACCCATGGGTTCAGTTGCCCTCTAGTGGATAATCAGAGACAGCTCATGTCTTGGATAGCTATGAAATGAGGAGTGTTCACACTGAGCCTGAGCCAACAGTCCCCATCCACACAGTAATAACAACTAAGATTTACTGAGCTTTTAATATGTGCCAGACACTGTTCTAAATGCTTTGCATGTACAAATCAACTAGCTTTAATCTTCAGGCTTAGTCCTTTAATTATATAATGTAGTCATCATTATTATTTTCTAACAGAGAAACTGAGGTACAGAGAGATTAGGAAACCTGACAAAAGTCCCGAAGAAGAGCAGGATTTAACCCAGGGACTGCATTAAACAATTTTCTTTCCTTTCTAGGAGCTGGATATATGTTTAGCGCCTACAGGGACATGCGAGAAGCCAATTTCATAGGTGCAGACAAATATTTACTTGAGGGAACTATGATGCTGCCCAAAGGGGACCTGGGGGCGCCTGAGCTGCGAAAGTGATCAGGTAACACAGATTTCAGGGATGGATGAGCAAAACTGGGTGGGCTTAGAGAGTCAGAAGGGAACACGCCCTGGGGAAGTTTCCTGTAGGGGCTATGGTCCCTTGTACTCTTATCCACTCCTCCCCTCTGTGCCCAGTGTCGGGTCTGAGTGGCCAGCAGAGCCAGAGCATGGCTGATGGGATGGGTGATTCCCAGTCCTCCCTTGCTGAGTCCCAGGACACTCTTCATCCATCATATGTGTGATCAGCCTAGGCTGAGCAGGACTCTGACCAGACATGGTCAGTATTTTAGCCCCTCTTTCTTTGTCTACTCTCACAGTCATCCCTTGGAAATAGGAGAGGGTACAGAGGGTGAGGCTGTTGCACATCAGCCTGGTGATTAATCTCCTGAGAGTCACAGACTTTTTAAAGTTTGGAGACAGTGGCCATGGAGTAGAGGGCTGACCAGGATGCCAATGAATGGGGCTGGAGCAGCAAAGACCCCAATCACTTTAGACCTGCTGGGCTGTCTGACAACTACTGAGCTTCCTCTTCACTTGTTCTCAGACACCAGGCTGTGAGCCCCTGAGGGAAGGGATAGTTGTTGAGCTAGAGTTATTTGTCTATCTTCTCTGTATCCCTAGTAGTACTTGATATAGAGCATATAAAAGTGATTAATGTCTGTGAAATCCAATTTGTTGTTGGGACCTGGAAACAGTATATGACAGTCTTCCTGGGAACATGGACCTGTTTATTAACCCAGGAATAATCAATAAACATCATAATTTTTATTAAAAAAAGGAGTAAGGTGCTAATAACATATTAGGAATTGGGACACAACTACAGATACAACAGACATGGAAAAGATAATAAGAGAATACTATGAACAACTTAAGCAATAAATATTAAAACTGGACAAAAAACAACAGATTTTTAGAAAAACACAACTTACAAAAACAGGCTCAAGAAGAAATGAAAACCTGGATTGTCCTATAATTATTTAAAAAGATTGAATCCTCCCACCAAGAAAACATCAGCCCCACATGGTTCTATAGGCAAGTTTAACCCTTCAAAGAACAAATAATTCCAATATGGTAAAACAATTTCAGAGATTAGAAGAGAAAATACCACCCAACAGTTTCCATGAGAATAGGAAAATGTTGGCACCAAAAAAAGTGAAAGAAAGTACAAATACTATGAGTCACTGTGGATTGGCCTCAGCAATGATTATCTTCCTGGGATCAAAGTGCAGCCTGAGGTTATACCTCTTACATGATTCCTGAAGATGGTGGAATCTTCAAGATACATTTTCAATCCCAGGCACCCCATACCATTTCTTCCCCAGATCAGACCTTCCCCCCTTCTTCTTGCTGGCTTAAGTGTCACTGGTTGCGACGTACTGTTTCTAGGCCCTTCTGTGTCTAGACCTCCTCTCTGCCCAGTCAGCTGTGTCCTTTCCCTTCTCTGCCTCTGAGGAATCTAGGTCCATCAGTGGTCTCTCTCCCTGCCACAGAGTCCTAGTGCCAAGAGTCTCTCCCCTTTCCTACGTACTTCATCCTGATCGAATTGTTAACCAGTTTCTGTCCGTGTTACTAAGAAATACCTTTCAAAGCCATTTCTCTACTCTTTCTCCACTTTTTGTTTTAGGCCATGATAGAACGTCACTTCCTCTATGCAACAAATCTGTCAATCCCTAAACCCTTATCCTTAGTCCAACATATATTTTAGGAGGACACAGTTTAATCCATAACACACTTGCAAGCCAGGTATAAGCACTTTGAGAGCAGGGTCTTTGCCTGTCTTCTACCCCGTTATGTCTCCAATTTTAGTGACATCAAAAAAGATGTGTTGAATAAATTAGCAAAAACCCACTGTCATGGTTTGAATTATGTCCCCCAAAAAATGTGTGTATCAATTTGGCTAGGCCATGATTCCTGGTACTGTCTGATTTTCCTGTATGTTGTAAACCTGCCTCTATGATGTTAATGAGGGAGTATGGGTGGCAGTTGTGTTAGTAAGGCAGGACCTGACCTACAAGACTGGATTGTGTCCTGAGGCAATCTCTTGAGATATAAAAGACAGAAGTGAGCAGTGAGACAGGGGGCCTCATACCATCAAGAAAGCAGTGACAGGAGCAGAGCGCGACCCTTGGACAGGGGTCCCTGTGCTGAGAAGCTCCTAGTCTGGGGGAACACTGATGAGAAGGCTGACAGAGAGAGAAAGCCTTCCCTTGGAGCTGATGCCCTGAATTGGGACTTTTAGCCTACTTTGACTGTGAAGAAATAAACTTCTCTTTGTTAAAACCATCCACTTGTGGTATTTCTGTTATAGCAGCACTAGATGACTAAGACACCCACCAAGTAACTAAATGACTGCCTTCAAAATGTTATGTAGCCCTTGTCTTTTTGTGTGTGTGATTTCATTCATTTCAGACTTTATTTTCAAGGTTAATTATTTTAGTGAGATGTATACCTTGATTTGAGTTATTGGTATAATGAAACGTTTTCAGAACCTGACTTCCTAGTGGAAGATGCAGAATATGTCAAATGCTCCTGTAGTCAACACCGTGACCTTCACAGCACCTTGCGGATCTCAGTTTCCACGTCTATAAAATCAAGTTTCAGGACTCGATGATCTCCGAGTTTTCTACTAGAATAAAGACAGAATTATCTTCCTATTTTCTCTGTAGAAAATAATTTTACAAAATCATTGTTGTGCTAAGAGATGTTGAAAGAGAACTCAGCCAAAAATTATACACAAAAATGTATTGTAGAGGTATCAGGCTGCTAATTATAAAAATATCTTGTTATTTTTCTCTATTTTTGGGATGTTTATAATACTTGTCAGCTATTTAAAATTTGTTTGCTGTGATTTCTTTTTTTCCCATCCTAAATAAATATTTCCTCTTGTAACTAATTTAATATTTGTAATTTTGCACTGTTTTTCCTAAAGAAGGCTCCTCAAATGGCTTAAGTTTCAGGTCTCACAAACCCTGGATCTGCCCCCGCACATAAGGTAAAAAACTTATTTATGATTATCTGAGCCTAGGACCCAACTACATTTTATATGTTAACACGAAGTATTTTTGTCCCATTTTAATATGCCTTAAGTTTTCCAGAAATTCAACTCCTGTGTAAATTGGAACTTTGTTTTAATAGAAACTTTGCCACTAGCTGTTCATCATTTTGAGAAGCTATGTCCCTGATAGCACCATGCTTATATCAGTCTGCATTTGTAGCTGTTGGGTTCACAGTGATTGTATGTATATGTGCAAGCATCAGACACCTTTATTACATCTTCTAGTATAGTTAGTTGTGTCTGAGCATTTAAGATGTTAAGATACATATTATTTTATTATAAATTAATTTTATTTCTTTTTTATTCCTGTTAGGGCATTATATTGATATGCTCGAAATTATGGATGGAGATAGGTTATATCACTATAAATTTCATTTCATTATAGGAAAGTGGGTGTTCCAAAATCTCTCTTAAGGGGGAGGACATTGAGTCTGAAGTTGTGTACCACTGAACTAAATAGAACCAGGGAGTTGGGATATTGGCATTCTTACTGGTGATTTTTGTGTTTCCAAGATTCCAATCACACCTGGGAGAACAATGAGCACCAGAGTCCCTGGGTGATACAAATAGCTAATATGCTCAATGGCTTAACTGAAAGGTTGGAGGTTCCAGTCCAGCCAGAGGTGCCTTGGAAGAAAGTCCTGGTGATCTCCATTTGAAAAACCAGCCATTTAAAACCCTAAGGAGCACAGTTCTACTCTGACATACATGGAATTGCCATGAGTTCCAGTCAACTCCACAGCAACTGATTGATTGGTTGGTTACTGATGTCCTTAAGAATGGAAACGGTGGCCAGAGATCAGAAGATTCTAGGGTCAGGCGGCAAATAAGTGAGTTCAAGTGGAATAGGCCTGTTTATAGAGTTTATTTTGGTTTCAGAAAAGGTTCATGAACCAGTAGCATGAACCAGTATATATAATGAGACATGCTCAGCCGGACAGAGAAAAGGTGGGAGTTTTTGTAAGATATAAGAGACAGAGAGGGAGAGAGAGAGAGAGAAACAAAAGAAAACGAAAGAACTTCCATATATTTTGACATATCATTAGGTCAAATGAGAGCCCAAACATTTAAACTTATCTATTCAAAAATCTGTTTAATGTTTGAACTAAAACTTCAAGTAGAGACGTTGTGGATACCAATGAGGTCAAAGCTGACAGGAATTCCAAACAAGGGGGGCCGTCAGGTGGAGCTATCCAAGACTCTCTAACTCTTTCAAAGAGCGTTTTTAACTCCAAGAAGTCTGGAGAATAAAAGAAAAATTCAAGAGGCCCCAAGAGATTCAAGATTCACGTCTCTTCCCAGAGACACTGGCCTGTTCCCTGCCCTCTACGGTCTCCCTCAAATCAGGCTAAGAGCTCCTGAAGAGATGGAGTATCTGGTCCAGTGAGGATAACAAATAGCAGTAATGATTAAGACCCTTGGTAGGGTGGGGTGGGGGACATCGAGCCATGTGAGGGCGGAAGCTGGCGGAGCATTCTGGGCTGAGCCGGGCCTCCACGCCCTTCCGGGTTTCTGACAGCAGGGGGCGCTGTGGCAGGAGCCGCGCCAGGCGTGCCGGGCCATCTGGAACCAGGCAGACTCTTGCTTCCTCTGGTGACTTCCGGCGCGGTTCCCGTCAGCAGATCACCGCGGAGGCATGGACCGCAACCCATCTCCTCCGGTGCTGAGTTGGGACGAGGAGAAGGACGAGGAGGTGGCCAGAGGAGACTGCATAGGGAGCACGGTCTACAGCAAACACTGGCTCTTCGGCGTCCTTAGTGGGCTTCTCCAGGTGCGTGAACTTGCGCCTCGGGTCGACTCTCCTTGCACCCCCAGACACACCGGCCGCGTCTCTGCGTAGCCCCCTCCTTCCCTGGAGTTGCAGTCCCCACGCCGACCTCTCCCCAGGCACGCGCCACGGGTCCTCACTCTTTGCGTTCTTGCGGCTCCACTGGACCCCACAACTGCCTGGGGCCACTCCGGTGCGCCTCAACACAAAGGGAAGCACGAAGGCAAGGATGCTGGAATGTGTGATGTTAAAATATTTCATTTTTGCACGTTTTACGAGAATATACGACCGTGTAAATACATTGCTCGGCTTGTTGCTCCTCATTCCCATTATCATTGCCGAAGCCCAGGTTCTAATTAATCTGTTTCATGGACTTTTGTTGTAGTAGATGCATGGTGACTTTGGAGTTATACAGCTTTGCGATCAAAAACCTGACCTCATTACCTAGTAGCTGCGTGACCTTGGGCAAGTCACTTAACCATTCAGAGTCTCAATTTCTTTCTCAACTTACATAAAATGAGATTATGATGGCCATAGAGTGTTTAGCATTGTCTTTTGCTTATAGCAGGCACTCAGTAAATGTGAATTTTCTTCTGCTCACTTTTCCCTAACTGATTTTCTTGCTCCCAGTCTGTCTCCTCGCCAATCCATCATCTCTACAGCTGCCAGAATAATCTTCCATTAAAAAAAAAAAAAAAACACTGTTCATAATACTCCTTTTAGTTGCCTTGACTACAGGAGAAAAATGCAGATTTCCTAGCTTGGAATCCAAGACTGTTTACAGCTTTTCCAGCCTTATCACATCCTATGTTCCATCAACACTAAACTGTTCACCATTTTCTGAACATGCCTGGCCCTTTCCTAATTCTGAACCCTTTACTTTCCTCTAATCTGTATGCTCTGTTCCCCTTTCTCACCTGGCAAACTCCTGTTATTCTTCCAAGACTTAACTCAAATATCACTTTTTAAGAGCTGTTTTCACCAACTTCTCCCAGGTATAGGTCATTGGTCTGTCATTTTGCTCCCACAACTCTTTACCCACAATTCAGTTGAATTACTTAGCCTTTCTATTGTGATTGTCTGTTTATATGTCTTTTGTCCACTAGATCTAAGCTGCTTACAGGCAGGGATTTATATCTTTGTGTCCCTAACCTAGTGTCTAGCAACAGTGAGTCCTCCATGAAAGTTAAATGAATGGATATACCCAAGGCAATACTTTTTTTTTTTTTTTTTTTTTACAATTTTTGCAAGAGAAGAAACTTTGAGGATAGTGTCTTTGTGACTTCTTAACAATTATGGGCTAATATTAACTTGGGGGGTACTATGGATAGCTTTTATTTATCCCTTTTCTTCCTTTGTGTTTCTGAAGATTATTAACCCTGAAAATACCAAATCCAGCTCAGATGATGAGGAGCAGCAGATAGAGCTTGATGAAGAAATGGAGAATGAAATTTGCAGAGTATGGGATATGTCAATGGATGAGGTATGGGGTAATAAGCTGTTGGAAATGAAACTCTGAAAAAACTATTGGGTGACAAGGTGGTGAATGGATTTTCAAAAAGGTTCACTCAGTCTCTGGGGAAAGGCCCCAATCTTTAGTGTCTATAATCACTCCCCTTTATGGTGCACGGAATGAGGTCTCATGAGCTACAAATGCTAAAATTTTGTCTTTGAGGATAGAGTCTGAGCTAACACTCATTTGGTTTAGGTTAAATATATAGATCTCACGAATGTTAGAATGCTTACAGCCCAGCAAGTTTTGATATTTACCCATCTAAAGAGAGTTCTGGCCTTACACTTGATAGCAGGTTAAGAGTTAGGAGACCACTAATGCACCATGATCCATTTAGAAGGAAAGGACAAAAAAGAATTATGTGTAAATAATTGCAATAATAATAATATTTTAATATTCATATTGTACTCATTTTCATACATATTCCGTTTAATCTTCACAATAACTCTGTGATATAATATCTTTATTTTATAGGTAAGAAAATAGTGGGAAAAGAGATTATTGATTTACGTAATCTCTCATTTTATTACTTGGACTTTTTCAATAGATTCCTGATTAAAATCCTCATTTTAGTCTCTTTTAACTCCCTTATGTCTTCCACATTGCTGCTGAAGTTATATTTTTTTCCAAAATAGAGATTTAATTATTCTGTCTTAAAAATTGTGAATGGCTAATTGTCTTTGACCATGTTTTTTAGCAGCTTTGTTGTTGTTAGGTACTGTTGAGTCGGTTCCAACTCATAGTGACTCGGTGTGAAAAAGAACGAAGCACTGCCCAGTCCTGTGCCATCCTCACAGTCGTTACGTTTGAGCCCATCGTTGCAGCCACAGTGTCAGTCCACCGCGTTGAGGATCTTCCTCTTTTTCGCTGACCCTTTACTTTACCAAGCATGATGTCCTTCTCCAGGGAATGATCCCTCCTGATAAAATGTACAAAGTATGTGAGACAAAGTCTCACCATCTTTGCTTATAAGCAGCATTCTGGCTGTACTTCTTCCAAGACAGATTGTTTGTTCTTTTGGCAGTCCATGATATATTCGGTATTCTTCACCAACACCATAATTCAAATACATCAATTCATCCTTGGTCTTCTTTATTCATTGTCCAGCTTTCACATGTATATGAGGCGATTGAAAACATCATGGCCTGGGTCAGGTGCACCTTAGTCTTCAAGATGACATCTTTGTTTTTTAACGTTGTAAAGAGGTCTTTTGCAGCAGATTTGCCCAGTGCAATGCGTCGTTTGATTTCTTGACTGCTGCTTCCATGGGTGTTGGTTGTGGATCTAAGTAAAATAAAATCCTTGACAACTTCAAATCTTTTCTCCGTTTATCATGATGTTGTTTATTGGTCCAGTTGTGAGGATTTTTGTATTCTTTATATTGAGGTATAATCCATACTAAAGGCTGTGGTCTTTGATTTTCATCAGTAAGTACTTCACATCCTCTTCACTTTCAGCAAGCAAGGTTGTGTCATTTACATAACATAGGTTGTTAATGAGTCTTCCTCCAATCCTGATGCCTTGTTCTTCATATAGTCCAGCTTCTCAGATTATTTGCTCAGCATACAAATTGAATAGGTACGGTGAAAGGATACAACCCTGACCTACACTTTTCCTAACTTTAAACCATGCAGTATCCCCTTGTTCTGTTCAAACGACCGCCTCTTGATCTATGTACAGATTCCTCATGGGCACAATTAAGTGTTCTGGAATTCCCGTTCTTCACAGTATTATCCATAATTTGTCATGATCCCCACAGTCGAATGCCTTTGCATAGTCAATAAAACACAGGTAAACATCTTTCTGGTATTCTCTGCTTTCAGCCAGGATTCGTCTGACATCAGCTATAATATGCCTGATTCCATGTCCTCTTCTGAATCTAGCTTGAATTTCTGGAAGATCCCTGTTGATACACTGCTGCAGCTGCTTTTGAATGATCTTCAGCAAAATTTTAGTTGCATGTGATATTAATGATATTGTTCGATAATTTATGCATTTGGCTGGACCGCCTTTCTTTGGAACAGGCATAAATACGGATCTCTTGCAGGTGGTTGGCCGGTAGCTGTCTTCCAAATTTCTTGGCATAGATGAGTGAGCACTTGCAGTGCTGCATCTGTTTGTTGAAACATCTCAGTTGTTATTCCATCAATTCCTGGAGGCTTGTTTTTCCCCAGTGCCTTCAGTGCAGCTTGGACCTCTTCCTTCAGTACCACTGGTTCCTGATCATATGGTACCTCCTGAAATGGTTGAACATTGACCAGTTCTTTTTGGTATAGTGACACTGTATTCCTTCCATCTTCTTTTGATGCTTCCTGTGTCGTTTAATATTTTCCCCATAGAATCCTTCAATATTGCAACTTTATTGAGGTATAATTGACACAAAAACTGCCTGTGTTAAAAGTGCGCAAATTGATAAGTTTTGACATACATATATGCATATGAAACCATCACCATAATCAAGATAGAAAACATATCCATCACCCCCAAAAGTTTCTTTATGCCCCTTTGTAATCCTTTGTGCCTCCCTGCATCCACCTTCTCCACAGAAAATTCTGCTTTCTGTCACTATAGATTAGTTTGCATTGTCTAGTTGTTAGCTGCTATTGAGCCAGCTCTGACTCATGGAGAACTCATGTCTAACAGAATGAAACATTGCCCGGTCCTGTGCCATGCTCTGTTCAGACCACTTTCTCTGCCTGGAATGGCCTGTGGCTGGCAAAAACCTCATCTTTTATGGCCCAGATTAAATGTCACCTCTTCTGTGATGCCTCTCCAGGCACTCCAGGTACAATTAATCTCTCTCTTTTGTGCTTTCATGGAACCTTATTCACTCTGTACCATACTACAGTGCTTGTTTCCTGTCCCCTGATAGATTTGAGTTCCTTCTCATCAAAACTTAATGTCATCTCTTCAGAAGTATCTTCTCTGATATCAAATCTAAAGTAGCTCCCCTTAACCTGGTTTCTAGAACACACCATTTTGTTTATTTTCTTTGTAGTACTTAGAAATTGTGTAGTTGAGGTTTTTTGTGTTGATTGTCTCATCCCTCTAGAATGAAAACTCCATGGGATTGGCAACTTAACCTAACTTGTTGCCTGATGTGTCCCCAGAGCCTAAAACAGTTTCTGTTAGTTAGGTTTTTCAGAAGGTATTTAATGAATAAAGAATGCATGAATGAATGAGTACATCTGAGAGGTAACATGGTATGTTGGCTAAGAGCATGGCCTCAGGTGAGACTAATCTGGGTTCGAATCTTGGCTCTGTTGCCTATTGACTGTATAATCGTCGTCAGTTTGCTTAACCTTTTAAAACCTCAGTTTAATAGTATAAAACCAAACCAAGTCTATTGCCATTGAGTCAATTCTGACTCATAGTGACCCTATAGGACAGAATAGAACTGGTGTGTAGGGTTTCCAAGGAGCAGCGGGTAGATTTGAACTGCATACCTTTTGGTTAGCGGCTGAACGCTTACCCACTGCACCACCAGGGCCCTTTAATAGTATAATGGGGCTAATAATAATAACGATTTCATAGGGTTGTTGTGACAGTGAAATGAGGTAGTATACAAAGCACTTTACTCCTGGCATTTAATACTTGTTCAGTAATTGTTAACTGCCATTATTATTGTTGGTGTTAATATCATTAGGCCACCGTTGTGTTACTGCAGACATTTTTAACCATCATTAAATAAATAATTCCCCACATACTACAAAGAGTTGCCCACTTGAGAAACAGCTTATCTCCTACAGAGGAGAACGTCTGCTGTGTGACTTTCAATTTGGGGCATATCTTTGAAAACATTGTTTTCTCTGACCATGGTCTCTTAATATGTATAGTATGTCTCTCCCAGTCAACAGTCACACAGGTTACCTCAGTCTCAGCTGTTCTGGGGGATAACTGCCTCTTTCTTTGAGGTGTCCCCAGGGTCCTCCAAAGTGAATTTTAACCTAAGCCACGTAGCCTGTATTTTAAGTTAAACCATCCCAAATGTACACTTCAAATTTGGTGAAAATCGATGGTAGTGGACAGTCAGAAACTTAATGTTATTTACTTAGTTTACAGTGCAGATCTCCACAACTAACTGACTTGGTTTTTGTCACCCACATTTCTAGGCAAAATTTGCCCAGTTTAGGTCACGTGTCCACTCCAGATTCAGTCACCTGTTTGGTATGCCCCTTTAGGCACTGTGGACTGGGCGTACTCTCTTGGAAGGAGATGTGAAGGTGGCATAGTTACGTTGGGATCAGAATTTCCTTTTTGTTGAGGATTTTGCAGACATCGGTCCTGATTTTGGACATAATCCAATAGTAGTTCTCACCTGTTTCTCCTAATTTGTTTTGAGCTCTTGGAGCCCAGGAATTAGGAGTTTTACTTTTTTCCTCCTTTTAGCATGAAACCTGGAAATCAGCAAGTGTGTTTGAATGAGTGAATAGGAATTCCTGGTGGGTAGGAAAATCATTAAGATAAAGGAAATATCTTCAGGGCAGAAAAAGGACAGTTCTCTGGAGTATCACAGTTAGCTTAGATTTCTTTATGGAATAATTCCATTGCCTTGGGACCAGATACCACAAAGACTCTAATATAATACTTGTCTATTGACACCATTCCTAACCTTAGGAGGTATATATAGAATTACAATTTTTTTATTGTTGCCTATGTTACGGGGTTTTAAGAGCAATGTTTAGCATCTAAATAAATAATCATATTTATTTCCAGGATGTGGCTTTATTTCTCAAAGAATTTAATGCTCCTGACATATTTATGGGAGTATTGGCCAAATCCAAGTGTCCTCGATTAAGAGTAAGTACGTACGTTTCTAAAGCCTTTCAGATAGTGCTAGGTGGTCTTTCATCTTTCTCACATTAATTTATTTTATTTTCGTTACTGGCTATAAATGAGCACATCAGTCTGTAAATGTTTATTGCACATCTGCCAGGCACTGTGCTATTTAGAATGAGCATAGTCATAGAATTTTAGATTTGGACTGGACCTGGGAGACCTATACTTTGATTTAACAGCTGTGGAAACCCAATAGGTTGATTAAGTTTACTGAAGCTATGCTGCTGATGTTTGGCAGAAAAGAGAACACTGCCTAGATCTCCCATTTCTCAGTTCATTGCTCTTTTAACTCACAGAAATCCTCCCTTAAAGGTTTCTAACCTTCATTGTAAACTCAGCCTATTACCCAAGACTTGCCACAATCTGAGCCTAACTGGTTGAGCCAGGCCTAGCTACTCCCTGTCTCACGAGTTTACTGTGCTCATCGCCAACCCTCTGCCTCCCTTTTGATACCTTCCATCTTCTGTTGTTATTCACATCTGTCATCCCAGGTGGTGCTTTTCTTCCAAGCCTTTCCTAATAAGTGAGCTCTCAGTGGTGGTTGCTAATTGTAAACTCCCAAGAACAATCATCTGTACCTTTCATTTTGTCTTTATGCAATGGTCTTGTGCTTTATTGCCATCGAGTCGATTCCAACTCATAGCAACCCCACGTGTTAGAGAGTAGAACTGCTTCACAGGGTTTTCTTGACTGTAATCTTTATGGAAGCAGATCTCCAGGCCTTGTTTCCATGGCATCACTGGGTGTGTTTGAACCACCAGCCTTTAGGTTAGATGAACACAAGCTGTTTGCTCCACCCAGGGACCTCCCATGATTATGAATAACTACTATTTGTTGAGTATTTGGTTTTACTACTACAGGTAGATACTATTTCTAGTTTACAAATAAAAGAACTAAATCTCAAGATAAGAAATTTGTCCAGGGTCACACAATTAGGAAAGAATGGAGCTGGGATTTGAGCGTAGGCTTGTGAGACTCCAGTGTAACCACTGTATTGTAGTGCCTCTCTTTGAGATTGTAACGTGGGTAAATCTGTAGTATATTGATAAATCTGTAGTATATTGATAAATTGTCGTATATTTTTACCAGTTTAATGTTGAGTTAAAATTTTTACTTAGTAGAATGCTCCACTTGATTTGAGACCTGATGAAATACTTTTTCCTTGGGTCATTATATTAATATAAAGATTTGATACCTAGTTGCCGTCAAGTTGATTCTAAGTCATGGTGACCCCATCTGTGTAAGTGTAGAACTGTGCTCCATGGGGTTTTCAGTGGCTGATTTTTCAGAAGTAGACCTCCAGGCCTTTCTTTGGAGGCGCTTCTCCTCTCTGTCCACCCTCCTCTTGGTGCAGTGAAAGTTTTTGTTCACGTTATTTTTGTTATGTGTGTGTTTTACCTCAGAGCCATTGTGACCTGTGAAATTTGACTTTTCAGGAAATCTGTGTGGGAATTTTAGGCAATATGGCCTGTTTCCAGGAAATATGTATATCCATCAGCAATGATAAAAATCTTGGGTAAGTCTTACTACATAATAATTTTTTTTAACAGATTCATAGTTTATATCCCTCAGGAAATTCTAATAATACATAGGAAAGATAGGAGAATATCGTGAAATGTTCTTTCCTTTGACGAATACTTTCCAGGAACTTTATTGTGTGTTGATGGTGCTGGGGGCTTCATCACTATTTATAGAGATGATTCAGAGTTTAGACCTATTTTATTATCAGTAGATAGAGGACCTGAATTATCAGCAGGTGGTGAGTCATATATAGGATAAAAAATAGTGGGGCAAAACTTGGAATTGGGGACAGCCGACCAGAATCCAAAACAATTTATAAAAGAAGTGATTTATCTCTTTAGCTGTGGAGGGACTTTAAGATCTTAGTTCAGGGTATTTATTTCTCAGTAGTTTACAATATTCATGGAGTAGATGACTCAGGATTATGTTTGGTCTCTGGTGTTCATATGAGAAATCTGGTTATGAGAAATAGTAGCAAGTTTTGTATATCGGGAGGGAGGACTTATTCAATTAAATGCTTGCCTTAACATGAATTAATATAGAACAATTTCCATTGCTAATGGAATATATTATAGGAGCATTGCTTGTAATAGCCTAAAATTGGCATCGACCCAAATGTCTACTAGTAGTAGGTTGGAAAAATAAATTGTATCATATTCACACAACAGAATGCTCTACAGCAGTGAATCAAAAGAACAACAGCTACAGGAACAACATGGTTGATTCTTACATAATGTTGTGCAAGAGAACTAAGATTCAAAAGAATACACTCAGGGCAATTTCTTTTATATAAAGTTCAAAAATAAGCAAAACCAAAATAGATAAAACTATAGAGCGAAGCAAGGAAATGGCTGCTGGAAAAGTGCAGATAGTGGTTGTTTCTAGGTGGGAAATAGGGAATTGTAAGGGACACACGGGCTACAGAGGTGTAGCACTGTTCTCTTAGAAACATGAGTATTTGCTTTATAATTATTCATTAACTATAGATTTGTATCTTATAGGCTTTTTGTATGTATGCAGTGTTTCACAATAAAAATGTTTTAAAAATTAAATGAAAACTCTACCTTAATATTTGAAAAGAGAAAAATGAAGCATACTAGCTTAACGTTTTTCTTTTGTAGACAGGTATTATTGTACTGTCTGTATGATTCAGACCCCCCGACTCTGCTGGAAACAAGCAGGTATGCCCTTTTGTTTTTATGGCTTCCATATTCTCACTCAAAAGGGCTAGAAAAATATAGTTAATTCTTCATGTGAGAGATTTTTACTTGCTTGAATTTTCTTTACTGTCTATGAAACTTAGAAATTAAGCTCACATTTGTTATGTAGGTTGTTGCTTACTTGCCTTTCCCGGACAGAAGTGGCCAGTGTCTGGGTTGAAATGATCCGGGAACTTCCGGCTATTTATGATAGCATTTGCTTCATCATGTCAAGTTCAACAAATGGTAAGTCACCACATAATCTAGAAAAAAACTTTTTTTAGATTATTCTAATTGTTGGGGAACAATATAACTTTTTTTTTTTTTTTTTGGATATAACTATTTCTGAAGCTCACTTTAATTAAAAAAAAAAGCTAAGTGCAAGGTGAAAAAGTATTTCTATTCAAGATATAAAGTTTTTTCTTAAACTCCTGGGACTCCATTTAAAAATGAAGGAAAACAGCAAATTTCAGTGTAGGCAGTAAAACAGACAACCCTTAGAATACATAATGCTTTGTTTGGCAAGATATAACTTTCTTGGAAAACTTTAGAAATTTAGATTAACCATTAACATTTTGTTTCTCATTTCAACATCTGTTTTATTCTCTGCAGTTGACTTGCTGGTGAAGGTGGGGGAGGTTGTAGATAAGCTCTTTGATTTGGATGAGAAACTAATGTTGGAATGGATTAGAAATGGGGCAGCTCAGCCTCTGGACCAACCCCAGCAAGATTCTGAAGAGCGACCAGTGTTTAGGATTGTGCCCTGTATACTGGAAGCTGCCAAACAATTACGGTAGGTGAGCCTTTTTTGTGCAAAATGCTTGGGGAAAATCCAGTTACTGGAAGTGTCCCCAGATATGAAACTTTCCTTTTGATGGGGTAGATAGCACACACCTAAGCTTGTTACGTTTACAGAATTTGTAATGACAATGTATTTACTCTTTGCAAGAATCATAATGGTTACAAAATACTGCTCTATCATTTAGCTATAGGCTAATTGTTCATTATAAATTGTGGTTACTGTCTTAAAATCATCTGCAATTTTGTGTAATTTATATCAGAGAAACGGTTTTCTTGTGCTTTATTTTATACTGAACATTTAACAGCTGCTTAATTAGTGTCAGGTATCATTTTTTTTTTTGCTCCTTGTGTATATACACCCATCTTGGATAAGTGACTGACTTTTGGGCTGTAATGTCTTACAAAGAGTGACTACTAGGTCTTGTAGGTCATGAAACTATTTATTACTAATCACTTAGTAAATTAATTTTATGCATTTATCTGTTTAATGACGACTAGTGCATTTTTAATGCTTAATAAGCTATAGTAAACCCTATTAATTTTCTGTCCTTAATTCAAGCGAGGATTAAACTCACTGTCTTTTTCCCCGAACCTGCTTTTTCAGTATTCTCTATCTCAGTAAATGATGCATTCATTATCTGTGTAGATAATGTGAACAAAATGTGAAAGCCATTGCTCTTCCCCATCCCACTCTATTCCTGCAGCCAATCAACCTCCAACCCTTGTTCTTGTCTTTTTCTGGGATCCCATCCCCACTGGACAACTATATGTAACATTCTTTTACCTGAACTCCCTGCCTCTAGGCTTGCCCTTCCAAGCCGAGACTACTAGAGCAGTCTTTCTAAAACACACTCAGCTCACTTGCATGTGTAAAACTCTTCAATGGCTTTTCTGAAGATAAATTCTGGATTTTTTTCTTTTTAGATGTGGCTTATAAGTTTTGCATAGTGCCTCTCCATCCTATTCCTTGTACTCTGTTTGAGCCATATGAAATTTCCTTCATCAGATGAATCAAGTTCTCTTACCCCTTAGCCTTTGCACAGTATATTTCCTCTACCTTAAGCATGTCTTTGCTTCAGGTTTCTGCATAAACATGTCTCTTAAGATGGCTTCGCCGTCCCTCCAGACTAAATTAAGTCTGCTTGCTATGTAGTCCTCTAGAACCTTGAACTTCCTTTAGTGTGACATTCATAGCACTTTATTATAGTTACCCTTTTAATTATCTTTCATTTTAGACATTTAGACTTCATGAGGGCAGGGACAGTGTCTTAGACATCACTGTTTTCTCGGCCCCCAACTTAATTCCTGAAGACAGTAGGTGATTAAGGAAATATTTGCCAAACCATCGTTTGAATTGTTCAGTATCTTTTCCCTTAATTGTTTGAAGAACCAAGAGTGTGAGTTTCTAGGAATCCAGATTGTTGATCACAAGAATTATACAGTGAAACCTGTGAGAACTGAACTTGTCAGGACTGCCTTTATTTTTCTGGGTCTCACACGTTTTCGGCTTTTGACAGGGTGCAGTCTTACCACTTTTCTGTTGCTTATTTTAGTGGAAAATATTTGAGTTATTCTCTAACAGATTTCCACCTTACATGGGTTCCAGCTTTCACAGCTTTTATTGTACTTACATGGTTTTACTGTTCTCAGCTAGGAAGCTAGGATTATGCTGTGATGTTTTAAGAGCGTCATTATTATTGATGCTTGATGTGGTGGATCATACATTCACATTATAAAGGTCCCAGTCATTTTTTGTCCTGATTACTCAAGTAAGCCAGATGGCGAAGCATCATGTAGCAGGTTTCTGTATTGTTGTTTTTATGGGACAGGACCAGTGAGGCTTCTTACTTCTTGTTTTATGTGTGTTGATTACATGATATTTCTGTGGTTTTTTGACTGTCTTCCCCCGTTAGAATGTAAGGTCTAATGAGCGTAGAGACTTCATCCTGTCCTCTGTTTTATCCTCAGCATCTAGGGCAGTGGCTAGCACAGGATAATAAACATTTGTTGGTTGAATTATTGACTGAGTGATTGCAGTCCCCTCAACAGTAAAGTTGTTAATTCAGTGCTTTTGCTTTTTGTATTTAGTTCTGAAAATCTAGAAGGGCTGGATGTTTACATGCATATCTTACAGCTACTTACCACAGTGGATGATGGAATTCAAGCAATTGGTAAGATGGCTTATGGGGATGCACTATAGGCACTTATTTAATTGTTTCCTGCTTTTAAATTACTATTTTCTTTATCATCTTTACAAGTACAGTGTCCTGATGCTGGAAAAGACACTTGGAGTTTACTTTTTGACCTGGGCTGCCATGAATTTTGCCAGTCTGATGATCCACCCATCATCCTTCAAGAACAGAAAACTGTGCTAGCCTCTGTTTTTTCAGTGTTGTCTGCCATCTATGCTTCCCAGGCTGCACAGGAGTATCTAAAGATAGAAAAAGGTAAATATCATTTCAGTATGCTGAATTAAATCTTAGTCTATCAGATTTTAAACCCAGGCTTGTGTTTGTTGTTCAATAGTTTCTCCCATTTTATTTTTTATTCCCTAGTTATAAAAATATTTCATGTTAAAAAATTGTAAAATGTTTGAAAGCCATCAAGAAAACATAGTGCTTGTAATCAATCATCCAGAGATGTTACTATACACACACATGCATATATGCTGTTGTTGCTGTTAGGTGCTGTCGAGTCAGTTCTGACGCGTAGCGACCCTGTGCACAACAGAACAAAACACTGCCTGGTCCTGCGCCATCCTCACAATTGTTGCTGTGCTTGATCCCATTGTTGCAGCCACTGTATCAGTCCATTTCTTTGGGGGTCTTCCTTTTTTTCACTGCCCTTCTACTTTACCAAGCGTGATGTTCTTCTCCAGGGACTGATCCCTCCTGATAACATGTCCAAAGTATGCGAGACATAGTCTCGCCATCCTTGCTTCTAAGGAGCATTCCGGTTGGACTTCTTCCAAGACAAATTTGTTCGTTCTTTTTGGCAGTCCATGGTATATTCATGGTGTATTCAGTATTCTTCACCAATGTGTGTGTGTATTTATATATATATATATTTTAAGTATGTATATATTTTGTATCAATAGGTGTGAGTTTATTGTTGTATTGTTATGCTTTTTTTCTTTTGTGGTGCTGACATTTTCTTTGTTCCCCTTACTTTCCTGTGCTGAGTTCCTTTTGTTTGTGGATTATTTCTTTGTTATTATACATTTTGTGTTTACTGAGACTTTGCTTTTCTTCTTTTTTATTCTGATGAGTAGGTTTGTTAACTTCTTTGTGGTTACCTTGAAATTTATCCTTATCTTCCTAAGTTTGAACCAGTCTGTTATTAGTGGATATCACCTTGACTTCCTCTCCATTTGAAAGTTCTATACCTACACCATTTATTCCCCCTTTTATTGTTTTGATGTAGTCATTTACACACTGAAATCTCTGTTTCCCTGTTTTAAGTCTTTTAGCTTGGTTTTATTACTGACAGTTCTTTACCTAGGTTGGTATCTGGCTGATGCTGTCCTGTGTCCTAGGCTCCATTTGTTGTCTGATGTTGTTGGTTCTCTAACCTAAGGACTCCCTTTAATATTTCTTGTTAGTATGAATTGGTTTTTACAAATTCCCTTAATTTCTGTTTATCTAGAAATGTCCTAATTTCACCATCGTATTTAAGAGAAATATATATTTGGTATATATTGATGTGTATTTGAAAGGATTTATTCTTGGTTGGCAGTTCTTTTCTTGCAAGGTTCTATGTATGTCATCCCATTGCCTTCTTGCCTGTATAGTTTCTGCCGAGTAATCAGTTTTTCTTGGGCTGCTCTCAGGGCTCTTTCTTTGTCTTTGGATTTGGCAAGTGTGATTATGATATGTCTTGGTGATTTTCTTTTGGGGTCTGTTCTATATGGGGTTTGTCGAGCATCATGAATGGTCAGCTTTTCATCTTTCATGACATTTGGGAAGGTTTCTGCCGGCAGATCTTCAACAATCTTCTCTGTATTTTCCATTTTCTCCCCCTGTTCTGCAACTCCAGTCACATGCATATTTTTGCTCTTGATTGTGCCCTACGTAATTCTTAGGTTTTCGTCATTCTTTTCTCTGATTTTTCCTCAAAGGGGTGTCCGTGGATTTGTCTTCAGTCTCGCTGATTCTGTCCTCCATTGTTTCAAATTTGCTCCTAAACCTTCTATTGAGTTGTCCGTTTCTGAAACTGATTTCCAGTTGCTGTTTTTGTATGATTTCTCCTTGTTTATTTAATTTGATGTTTTGTTCTTGTATTATTTTCCTGAATTCTCTTATTGTTTTGTCTGTGTTTTCCTTAATTTTGGCTATGTTTTGGTTGGTTTTGTCTGCATTTTCCTTGATCTCTTTCCTAATCTCTTCGAGAGCCCTAAATATTAGTCTTTTGAATTCCATATCAGATATTTCTGTTGCTTTTTCTTCTACTGGAAGGTCATCTGATTCTTTATTTCGGTCACTTGCTGGGGCCATCTTGTCCTGCTTAAATGCACCTCTCACTCTGGCCTGAGGATGATGGTTGTCTGCATGGACAAAGAAAGCCTCCGAGCCTCAAGGACTTCCGGTAGCAGCTGAAGGACTCTGGTCGTGGTTCCCCAAATGGCCAGGATGCAGGGTGGGATGGGGCAGGGCTCCACGTACATTATTTTAAGTCCTGCTTTTTAGCTAGCTTTCTTCACTTAACAATATAAAATGAATATTTCTGTATGTAAACAAATGTTCTTTTGCAGAATGGTTTTTATGAATTAAATCCATAATCCTTCTAGAATTTATTCTGGTGTCACATGTGAGATATAGTTTCAACTTTTTTCTAGATAGCTATCCATTTTTCTCAACATCATTTAGTGAATAACCCAGCTTATCCAAACTGATTTGAAATTTTATCTTTATTATACTGTAAACTGCCATATAGATTTTATTCATCTCCATTTCTCTATTCATGTGCCATTATCCATACTGTTTTAATTGTCAAAGCTTTATGTTTTGATACCTAGTAGGGCTAGTCACAGGGAGCCCTGGTGGCATAGTGGTTCAGTGCTTGGCTACTAACCAAAAGGTTCAAACCCACCAGCTGTTCTGCAGGAGAAAGATGTGGCAGTCTACTTCCATAAAGATTTACAGCCTTGGAAACCCTATGGGGCAGTTCTACTCTGTCCTGTAGGGTTGCTGTGTGTGGAAATCAACTTGGCAGCAATGGGTTTGGTTTTGATGTTTTAGAGCTAGTCACCTTTCATTCTATCTTTTCAGAATTTTTTTTTTTTCAACTATTATTCATCTTTAACACTGAATTAGATTGAAATTTCCAAAATCAGAAAATCTTCCTAATATTTTTATTGGGGTCATGTTCAATTTACAGAGTATACAAAAATACATTATGCTTTTCTATTTGTTTGTATCTTATTTCGTGTCCCTCAGTAATGTCTTAAGGTTTTCTTCATACAGATCTTGCATTTTTATTGTTTCTTCCTAGATAGTTTATCTTTTGGGTTGCTGTTGTCTATGACGTCTTTTCTTCCACCGGTTATCGCTCTTGGCATATATGAAGGCTACTTATTTCTATATATTAATTTTACATCCAGTAACTATACTGAATTCTCTTACTGTTTTTCATAGTTGTTCTGTGATCATTTTGGACTCTATCTAATACTGCTTTAGGCTTCAGTTAGATATGTTTTTATCACTTTTCTAACTCTGAATTCTTTCTCTTACCCAATTGGGTTTCCTAGTGTCTTTGGTGTTAAATATAAGTGGTGATAGGAGACATCATTACCTTGTTCATAATATTATTGGGAATGACTTTAGTGTTTCACTGTTAAGCATGATATTCTTTTGTGTTTATGCTATTTATGTTTTATCATTTAAGGAGATAGTAATTTATTCTTATTTTATTTTATTAAGAGTTTTTAATCAAGAATGAACGTTGAATATTTCCGTCTGTCTTTTCTGCATCTGTTGAGTAGATGATATTGAGTATAGACCTGATGGAAATTGTAGAGTGAGTCATGTGAATACTTAGGGAGAAAATCATCCCAGACAGTAGGAACAATAAGTGTAAAAGCCCTGAACTAGAAGTATACAGTGAGGCCCCCATGCCTGGGGTGGAGTTAGCAAGGGGAAGACAAGTAGCACATGGGGCCAGAGAGGTAACGGGCTAGATTGTGTAGGCCCTTTTACCTTTTACTCTGAAGGAGAATGGGGAGCCATGGAGGGTTTTAAGCAGAAAATGAATTTGAGGTGACTTTCATAGGCTCGCTGTAACTGCTGTGTTGATCAGAAATGTAGGAAATCAAGGGTACAGAAAGGAGACTAGCTGGGAGGCTATTGTGATAACTGAGGCAAGAAATGATGTAACTTGGATCAAGATGGTAATAGGGGAGTTGGTGGAAAAATAGTCAGACTCTGGTATATTTTTAGGTGATGCTGACAGAATTTGCTGACATAGGATGGGAAGGTGAGAGGAGAAAAGTCAAGGATAGCTGTGCAATTTGAGGCATTAACAGTTGCCATTTACTGCGATAGGGAAGACTGGTTTTAAACATGTTAAGTTTGAGATGTCTAATAGATGTCTGTCTTAGTTATCTAGTGCTGGTATAACAGCAATACCACAAGTGGATGGCTTTAACAAAAAGAAATTTATTTCTTCACAGTAAAACAGGCTAAAAGTCCAAATTCAGGGCGTCAGCTCCGGGGAAAGGCTTTCTCTCTGTTGGCCTTCTCATCAATGTTCCCCCAGACTAGGAGCTTCTCCACGCAGGGTCCCCAGGTCCAAAGAACACACTCTGCTCCTGGCACTGCTTTCTTGATGGTATGAGGTCCCCCTCTCTCTCTACTCACTTCTCTCTTTTGCATCTCAAGAGATAGCCTCAGGACACAATCCAGTCTTGTAGATTGAATCCTGCCTTACTAACACAACTTCCACACATCCTCCTTCATTAACATCATAGAGGCAGGATTTACAACATATAGGAAAATCACACACTACCAAGAATCATGGCCCAGCCAAACTGATGCACACATTTTTGGGGGACATAATTCAATCCATGACAACGTCCAAGTGGAGGTACTTAGCAGGTGGTTGTATTCATGAATCTGGAGTTGAGAGGAGAGGCCTGAATTAGAGATAATCAGTTTTGGAGTTGTCAGTTGTTATGCTATTTAGGTCTTCTGTATCCTTAGTTATTTCTTTTGACTTGATTTAATATGGAGTGAGAGTAAATTAATTAATGTCTGTTACTACTAATTTGTTTACTTCTCTTTTTTTTTTTGTAATTCTATTGAAGTTTAGTTTTACATTTTGATTAAACTGAAGAATGCTACATTAGTTGTAAGTACACTTAGCCTCAAGTTTATACATTCTGTGTGGTTAGTAATGTGCAGAATATCCCAACTTCCCTTGAGAAACAGTATCATATCTAAAACACTTTGAT